ATGCCAAAGACGTGGCCTCAAAGGAGAAGGGCATCCTAGCTGATTTATGCATCAGAGCCAAGATTCAAAATCAACCTTCTTGATGGGCACTGTGACATGAGCCTGCAATCCCAGCTACTCAGAGGCCATGGAGGGAGGATCACAAGTTCAAGGCCAGCCTGGGAAATTTAGCAAGACTATGTCTCAAAAACCAAACAAAAACAAAACCAATCTTCTTCATTTCTTGTCTCATTCTCTAGCTGGGTGGAGTCTGGGCTCTGCCACAGTCTAGCTGGGGCATCTTTGCCTTTCTGAGCAGTGAGGGAGCAGTGAGGGGGTAGGGACAGATCAAGTTGCCTTGGGGCTGAGCCTTGGGGTACAAACAAATGTACCTTGTCAGTTGGTGTCCGAGTCCTGTGGCCTTCTGCCACAGTTGCCTTTCAATCTCCCTTGGCCAGCCCAGGCAGGCCTCAACTGAGCAGTGAGTGGCCATCTTTACAATGCCTGTAACTCTAAGTCCTTATGTATACCCCTGGGGGATTGTGATGGGGAAAATAAGCAGGTGCCACAGGGCCCCTGGGAGAAAGCATCTCAGCATTTCTTAGAACAGATTGAGAAACAGACAGACAAACAAGCAAACAACAAACACACACAAGTTGTAAATTTCCAGCTTGGTCTTTGAGGAAAAGCCAAGATAAATAAGAATTAATTATCCTGTTCTACTCTGCAGAAGTGAAGCTGGGGCACCAGGAACCAGCAGCCAGTTGCTTGTGGTCACCTGCGTTTACTCACTGTGGAAGGCTGGAGAAGCCAGCTCCTTTCCTGGGCAAGGGAAGGCAATAATTCATTCAAGCTTTGTGCTCCGGAGAGGCCTTCCCCATGGTGACTGCTGGGAAAGGAAACAGGGTTTTACTGTGACGGTGGCTGGCCAAGGCCTGGTTTCCTTGATCCTCACTGTAGCAGTTCCCCCAATTGGAAGAGAAGAGTAAGTGAAGAGAAGGAGGGCAGATGACCTCTTGAGAGTCTGCGCTAATTTCCTATGGCTGCCGTAATAAATTTCCACACACAGTGGCTTCAAGTTACTTCCTCCCAGGTTGAGAGGCTGAAGATCTGAGGACTAGGCGGCAGTAGGAATGCATTTCCTCCAAAGTCTCTGGGGGAAGATCCTTGCCTGTTTCAGCTGGTTTCCTTTGGTTTGTGGCAGCGTGACTCCAAACTCCACCTCTGTTTTCATACAGCCTTCTTCTTTTGTCTTATAAGCACAAGTATCGCTGCATTTAGGACCCACATCAGTAACCCTGGATGAGCTCATGTTAAAATCCTTAATTTAATTGAATCTGAAAAGACCATTTTTTTCAAAGATGATTATGTTCATAGGGTGGAATCTATTCCTTTTTAGGGTCACCATTCCATCTACTATAGCGCCTAAATACTTTGCAGAGTTATGTCCTATACTTCTCCTAATACAGAGAGCATTATACAATAATAATGAGAGCATTCCTCTCATTTTCCAGAAGAGAAAACTAGGATTTAGCGGGAAGAGAGAACTTGTTTAAGTTCACACTTTGGGGAAGTAGCTGCATGAGGTTGGAGACTTAAGGCTTCATCAGCAGACATGGGGAAGGGGACCAGCACTCGGAGAGGTAAGGAGGATGCAGGATTGACCCAGTGAGGACGATCTGAGAGCAGTTTTGTCTTGTTAAAAGGATCTGTGTGTGTGGGTGCACGCACACATGCGCGTGATGGGTGATGAAGCCGAAAGGAGTGCTCGTTAGGCCAGGTCTTATTCTGGAGTGCAGGGAAATTTGGAATTTAGAGAGTCTCCAGGTTTGGCCATTGAGGTGCTGCCAGGCCACCAGTTGTGTAGGGAGGACACAGTAGTGGGCGATTATGATTTGCAGCTGCTGGAGACTTTCTCTGTAAGCTGCTAAGAGTCTGCCCCCACCACTGGACCCCCACTATCAGACAGTCCATGTGAGCCTTCCTCAGGACTGAAGAACACGAAGAAAGAGGCTCCAGGGGCTTGGCTGTTGGCAGAAGGTCTGGCTCTGTACAGTGCCTTCCTCATTAGCCAATTAATTCTATGCTGTGGTTCTGGGCATTGTGCTTGGACGCTGATCTCCATCCTGTTTCTCAAGACACCCAGAGACTCAGTGAGCTCCACAATAGCTCCATCAAATTCCCTTTCTGCTTTAGCCAGACAGACTGGATCCATTATTTACAACTAAGAGCCTTGAACCATATAAGTGGGTTTGGGGGTGAATGAAATAGGGCTCCAGGGGACAAGAGCACGGTGAATGTGAGGTGTCAGTGAGGCATCAGTGTGATGACTTTCAGGCCCATGTGGGTCAGGAGTGCAGATTTGAGGCTGCTGGCACTTAGGTGGCTGTGAGGGTCATTCAGGAAGAGTGCATTTTTCCAGGGAATTGGTTTAAGGAGTGGACAGAAACAGAGATTTTTCAGGGAACAGAAAAAAATGGGAGGGCTCTGAGAAAATGATGAAATAAGAAGTCTTGTGGTTTAAGCCCATTTCCCTTTGCCCTGAGAATTCCCCCGGTGGTATTTGCAGTTGCAGGGTACCCACAGATAACTCACTGACTAGTCTTAAACTTACCTCCTGCTGGGAATGTTGGTTCACGCCTGTAATCCCAGCCCTTTGGAGGCTGACACAGGAGGATGACTTCAAGTTTGAGGCCAGCCTGGCCTACACAGTGAGTTCAAGTCCAGACTGAACTACACACAGCAAGACCCTGTTTCAAAAAACTAAACCAGGGCTGGGGATTTTTAGTTCAGTGGTTCTGCTGCCTGCACTGCAAGCACAAGATCCTGAGTTTGATCTCTGTACAAAAAAAAAAAAAAAAAAAAAACACAAAAAACAAGTAAGAAACAACAACAACAAAAACCTACCAAACAAGCAAATGAAACAACCAAAACAAACCTTACATTCAAATTTGCCACAGACTCTCTCTTATTATTTTCTAATCTAACTGGTCGCTGTGAAA